ATAAGCTAAACAGTAAAAGTCTTAATTTTTTCACAATTTATTTGAAACTATGACAATGAGTCATAAAAATTAGCACCAGAAATCACATTTTGAATTTTGGAAGCTGTAACATTTAACGAGTTAGTCCCCGAATGTAACCTAGCAATGGAATGAGTCTGACAGAAAATCTATAACTCCTTTTAAAGCACAGGTGAAGAATAAAATACAAGTTAATGGGTGGAATCTTAAAGGGGACTGAATGACGTGGTCTATGGCCAATGTGTGGTAAGGCTCATCTCAATGTCGATATCATCTCGATCTGTCTTTTATGCCTTTCTCAAATGGAGAGATTCTCCCTGGACAGCGGTGAGTTGCAAATTGATGGTCATTATTGATTGTAAAAAGCCTTGTTTAACAATTTGCCTCATTAATATTCAGACTCTCATTTTACCAAACTCACCAAAGAAGCGAGATGTCAGGAAAACTCAAAAAGGAAACCTGTATGTTTAACTGGTGGATTCAGCTCACCTCATGCTCTGAACCATCTCCATCTTGAACACAGGGCAGCAATGTCTCAAGGCACAATCCGTGGTACATCCTTCATCTAAGGACACTACCATCCCATCTTAAGCACCTCTCCAAAACACTGGCAGGTTGCTCATGAGGCGTAGGCATGCATTGACAAGGTTGCAGCAGGGACACTTTGCATGCATGGATAGCAACCTTGCTCACAAAAAAGACGAAGTTGAATCTTCGGCGTGCTCAGTTGTTCTCACAGTGCTTGGTCATTTAGGGCCTACCTGCAAACTCACACCATCCGTGTGTTGCTTTGACGTGCCTCGAAATGCTGTGTCATGCACATTGGCATTTGGCTAGAACCAAAGGCTGCCACTACTGCCATATTAGTGGGTTCCTTAGCACAGACACAGACAGACTGCTTGCCATGCTTAATGCTGGAACATGATGGGGGTGTGAGCATCTTGGTAAATGGCACACCTAGATGGCAATCTAGCATCTACACATGCAAACTGCCTGCATGGCAAATACACTGCATGTTCATTCAATGAAATTAGCATGTTGGAATCTGGTTGGGGGCAGTCCTCATTCCAGCCAGGATGGAAAAGTGCCTGGAAAGGCCAGTGGGTGCATTTTGCTGTCCATCAGAAGGCCTGGTACCATCAGTCACAGGTATAGTCCTTAACAGAGTCCAGGGCTTCCATCATAATTAATGGCCCCTTTTGGAAAATGTTCCAGTATGGTCTGGGGAGTGTTCAGTGGTCAGTCCTGTAGGGCTAGCAAAAGCAGTCAGCAGTCTGGTCAGGCATGTCTAGGAAATGATCATTGAAGCCAGTCACAGGTCTAGAAAGAATGCTGTCCTTGGTGTCCATCCATCAATATTTCTGGAGGGACATCAGGGAATCAATGGTAGAAGCTGGGCAAGGTATGTTTAGTGGTAGGACTAAGGACAATGATGGGGGGTTTGAACAGGTGGAGTTCAGAATTACTTCAGAGGGTATAGTAGGCTATGAGAGGGGGTTTGTTAACTGTGACCACCACAATGGCCTTCACAGGGGGAGCATAAGAGAACAGGGTGGGGATCTGCAAGGTGCAATTTTGAGGTTCAGGGGAGGGAGGACAGTTATACCCGAAATTCAATGTGAAGAGTTGTTGCTCTGGGGAAGCAGGCTGAAATGGGTTGTTAGTGTAGTGAGAGGTAATACAGAACATGCAGCTTAGGTGGGGAGTGGGGCTTAAGTGCCAACCCGACTGGCCCAGTACTTATGATGCCTAGCGTGATCTGAGTTGTTAGCCAACTTTCCTTTTCCAAATGCTAAATGTTACCAATAAATGGGTGGAACAATGCCCAGCGTGGGTGGGATGTCAGTTTGACAGCTGAAAGTGCAAGATCCAATGTTGCTGAACTCCAGCACACTGTAGTGACAAAAACATTAAGCAGCTGTTTGCAAAGCGCAGGTACCTTGCATTTGCAGTCATGGCATTGCCCATTTCATTTGCATTCAGACTGAGGGTGTTGACTGGTCAGATGCTGGACAAAGGTGATTGATGACTGAACGCAGCCACATCAATAACACTGAAATTATCAGCATGTAAGCATGAAAAGCTGCTCCTGGCTGAAGGAAAACCACTATTCATGCAATTTCCATGGGTCATGTGTGAAGCACGCAAGTGCAAGTCTTCTTCTGTCATGTATGTGTCATAGTTGTAAGTTCTGCAAGCAGTGTCAGTTGACCATATAGTGTGGGTGAATGATGGGGAGGTTGTAGAGTGATGCACACAGCCCATTTTTGCTAACATGTGGTGGTTCCTCAGTCTCTGTGGCTATCCTATTTTATGGACAGAGATTGAGTAGGTTGGGCCCATACTCAGTGAAATGTAAAAGAATGAGAGGCAACTTTATTGAAACATACAAGATTCCTGGGGGACTTGACAGGGGAGGTGCAGAAAGATTCTTTCTCCTTGTGGGAGATTCTAGGACCAGAGGGCATAATCTTAGAATAATGGGTCGCACATTTAAGACAAGAGATGAGGAGGAATTTCTTCTCTCAGAAAGGGAGAGCCTGAGGAATTCTTGACCACAGGAGGCTGCTGAGGCTAAGTCGTTTTAATATGCTTCAAGAACAGTTCATTCCAGAGCTTAGCAAAAACAAAATTATTACAAGAAAAAAGGAAACTTATATATTAACTAATTTCCATTGTAAACACTACAATTTCTTCTGAATGCCAAATTCTTTTGTTAGTCGAGCATGGTTTATAACAAAGGATAATTAAAAAAGAAATTTAACAAAAAAGTGAACAATTTCATTTAAGGTCTAAATACTCAGACCAGAGAAAAAGATAAAATTTTTAAATCTTTAGTTTTAGGAAAGTTCTCTCAGTGACCTTGATGGAAAATATCTACTATTGAACTCAACATAATTGGCTTCGGTATCCACGAATTGAAGTTGGGATAAGAATCAACCGTTATTCGTGCTTCTTTTTGTTGCCCATAGGGCGGTACGGTGGCTCAGTGGTTAGTACTGCTGCCTCACAGCGCCAGTGACCCGGGTTCAATTCCACCCTCGGGCGACTATCTGAGTGGAGTTTGCACATTCTCCCCATGTCTGCGTAGGTTTCCTCCAGGTACTCTGGTTTCCTCCCACAACCCAAAGATGTGCAGGCTAGGTGGATTGGCCATGCTAAATTGCCCGTAGTGTTCAGGGATGTGTAGTGTAGGTGGGTTATAGGGGGATGGGCCTGGGTGGGATGCTCCAAGGGTTGGTGTGGACTTGTTGGGCCAAAGGGCCTGCTTCCACACTTAGGGATTCTATGATTCTAAGACTCTACCCCAGCAATCGGAGAGGTGATAACTGAATGGCAATTAGAGGAAAAAACGAAAATTATAAATTTATTTCATCTTACACTTCCTTCAAAACTATGTAATTGAAGAGTGTGAATATAATTAATTCATTTGAATAATGAACTTTTGCTGAAAAATAATACTTCTTTCTACTTTATGGATCAGTTAGATAGCCTACGAATTCCAGAAAATACTTCAAATCCTACCAAGAAATATCAATCTTTTGCTCTAGAACTGGACTTCCGGCACTGGTTCTTGCAGAATTGCAACACTTCCTATCACAGAAATCTGGAAATCCCGAAATGGAGATCACTAGCTTCATTGAACAAATCTCCCGTTCTTCAAAGAAAATTACTTCACTGCATTTCAATTATCTGCTGAAATCAGTGAAATCAAAACTGCTTTCACACAGTGAAATGTTGAAATCAAAGAGAACAGTGAGTGGTTTGAAATAAGAAGTCACAGTCTCAAAGTGACCAAAGGTTTAACTTGCAGCAGCTGGATCTGCAGTCGACAGGGAGCTCGGTGATCAGACAAAGAATCTTCAGCACCTGTCATTTTCTCCTCGATTGAAAGGAGCTCAGCAGTTTTCAAGTTTTGTTCTTGGGGAAATATATTTTGCGCTTGAAAAAAATCTTTTAACACTTTTCTTCAGTTGCACAGCTAGAAGCTGCTCAGTTTGTTTCTATTATGGGCAATCTGTAGCAAAAATAAATAACTGCCCTTGAATGGCATCCAAAACTTTGAGACATACATACCTTGTTCAACTATTTACCCTGTATTTGCATTTTGGAGAAGCATAAAAGAGTGCCTTTTCATGCTATTCCTGGATGCTGGTGTAAGTATTATGTAAACAAGGGGCCTGCCATCCTTATACACCATCCACTCTGTCTTTTGCATTCTGCCATCACTAATATTGTTAGGTGTTTAGAGACAGCTTTATAAATACAAACTATGCAGTGCGCATCAGCAGGTCTCTCCTTTGTATACATAGATATCAAAGAGTACTACAATATCACAGGCCATGAAGCACATTGGAGAGCTTAGTGATCAACTCATCATCATGCATTAGCACATCTTAATTCGTGCAAGTGGATTCCCAGAATCAACGATGTGCAATTAACAGAGATCCAGGAGAAACAGGATCAGTCAACAGAGTTTACAACGCATAAAAACCACAGGAATAGCATAGAAATCTGCCACCCGATACATATAATCGGGTAGCAGAATTCAATGCCACTTACATTAAAAATTGCTGTCGGTAACAGGAGGATTACATGCATGTTGTCAACTGTACCACATATCACAATCCTCCCCATTTAGGTCAAAATATGAAATATTTTCATTACATTTTACTGAAGGTATGATTATTCTTAGTTATATGAAATATGAAGTTAGCTACTAAAAAGCTACTAATCAATCCAGGCTTCCAGACCACATGATTCTTCGTTGCATCAAAATTGTGCTAATACAGTTTTTTCAGAGCTTCAAAGCTTTGAACTGTTTACTGCTAAAACGTTAACGTTTTAACTCCAAAATACAGTCTGCTTGTTTTATGGAGTGACAATGCTGTTTTCAGAACATCAGAAATGTGCCAATACAGATACAAGGCAAATCTATATACAAAAGGCAACTAAAATTAAGTACATACAAGACCACTTACCTCCACTGTTTCAGTATTAGAGTATCTGGTCAGACTCTGTTGTGTAGGATTTATGACAGTGATCTGCACAAAAGAATTTGGTTTCCGATCACGAGTTGTTGCCACTAGTTCCTTGCATGCTGGTAAAAAATGCAAAAAAGAATTGTAAGCTTATCTTTCTAACAGAAAACTCAGGGGAAAAAAAATACCTCAGCATTGGACAGACTAGATTTAGCCTCAGCAGAACACACTGCTGTAGAGAGCAACTTTCCAACTAAAGGAAGTCCTTGGAAGCAAAGCTTATTGAAGGAAGTCACATGTCAAAGCTTGTTTGGAGACTTTTCCATAAACTATACCATCCTTTATTTGATTTCGTGCCAATATTTTACTGCCAAATGTTCTTCAGTTGTCTGATCTGAGTGCACACACATACAATGTATCTTTGTATTAATTCACTACCCAAGTTTTATCAGGAAATAACTCACTTCACCATCTGTTACCCCATAACGATCTGCTATAATTTTAAGCAGCAATAAAAAAAACCTTTCAACAGAATGGAATAGTTTCTCTGTAAAGAAGCCCTGCTTTAGTACTATACTGCCTTTCATTCAATTCTATTTCACATACAGGAATGATTCTACAACTAGCGGAATAAAATCACTCACAAGCTTCAAAGAACTGTGCATGGTGTTTTTTTAAAACAAATGATTCACAGAAACAAGAGCTTTGCCCATTTAAAAGTAAGCTAAAGGAACAGGAAACATTTGGAAAACCGACTCAGCTGGTAACAAGCTGGTGCAGATCAATCTGCTTAATGCATTTGCCAGAAGGAATGTAGTTCAGGAAATGAAATCTGTGCCTCAGTGTAGTTTAAACAGAATGCTCCAAAGCACTGTTAAAATAACATTGCACAGCAATCAAACACACCAGTGAAATGTGATATCAGTGGAAGGGAACATGGAGGATTTTAAAGGAAAAATACTGTTTACTAATAATATCCAAGTGGTTTGTTTAAATCTATGCTGTAGGATTAAAAGTTACAGACAATTAGCATGATTTGCTTAAGCTGGCAACACTGACAATTCATCTATAAATGAAATAACTAATGAAAAAAATAAGTAATATTCTTCCAGCACTGCCTACCTACTCTGCCTGCCTGTCCTATTAACCCCATACTTTTTTTTTGCCACCTTCCACTCAGTTTACTGGTCAAGAACATGATTTTCTTTTAAATGATAAAGCTTCCTGCTAATCAAGGTCTTTGTTTAAATGGAACTATAGTGTCACCCTTCCTTTCATGTGATACTTCATTTCAAAGTATTTCCTCTCGTTGTTGGTTGTGGCAGGATGGTACCTATAAAAATAAATGGATCAATTTCATCTAAAAAAAATTAGTCTCAGGTTGTTGGTGCTTGTTAGGCAAGACTGCATTTTATAGCCCTGAGAAAAAGATGGTGATGGCCTCCTTCTTGAACATTTCATTCTCATATTTTACAATTTAGAGGTTTATTAGATCACTACAGAGGTCACTTAAGAGTCAACCATATTGGTCTGAAATAAGTTCCATATTGGCTACACAACATCAGTGAACTAGTACGGATTTTATGTCACAATCTAACAACTTCAAGATCACTAGCTTTTCATCTCCAATTTATTTTCAAATAAAAAACCAAAACCAAATTCTCATTCTGCCATATTGGAGTAAATTTCTAATTAGGATATACTTAACATATAGTGATCTCTTAAGACGAATTAATGAAAAATTATACTTTGATAAAATAAAGAAGTCTTTTACTGTAAGTTTTACTAACCTTTTCGTCTTTAGGGAAAATACACATTTACCAAAAAAAGTGAGATGTAGTCAAGTTCATTGTTTCTTATTGGAGTAAAAATGTATGCCTTCATTAGTGAGGAAGTAGGATCATTTACTCATTTGCCCTCCCACCTGTAAAGATCACAAGCTCACTATGTAGGATGAGGTTCCAAGGAGATTATTTAGCTATACTAGACTGATTGCTAGACAAAAAAAAAAGAAAAGGCAGTAACCCCATTTCTATTTGTGTACTCTTGACACTGCCACTGTGAAATTTAGCCTTTCCCCTAACAAGAACATAGCAAGGCTGGTTTCATAAAATATTTTGACATCTGTTACAAATGCATCCCCCCTCCACCCCCAACCCATCCACATACACACACACCCCATTGTAGTAAATCCAACTTGCTTCTCACTTTCTTTTTCAAAACAAATATTATTAGTTCATATTTTTGAGGTTTACTGGAGACACTGAGTGTGAACTACCAAGATTCAAGGTCATTACCCCTCCAAAACTGAATGCAACTTCAGGGTATTGGGCATGCTCAGATTAGTTTGGAAATCCTGAAGTTGCAGAGTCAGGGCTCTGATGCAGGCTGTGCCATGAACTCCAACCCATCCTCGCAGCCAGCAGTCATGACACTATTAAGAAATTAATTTTCTTGCTTCCATTTTACTTTCAGAAATTCCATTAGAAGTTCAACTAGGCATAATTTTTTTAAATGACAATGTGATTAATAAAATTAATGAACAACTAAATATGTCCTGAAAAATCTTTTATATTCATGATTGTTACAATCAGTTCTGAAGAAGGGTCCCTAGACCCAACACATTGACTCTGCTTTTTCTCGACAGACGCTGTCGGACCTGCTGGGTTTCTCAGCAATTTCTCCTTTGTTTCAGATTTCCAGCATCCGTAATTCTAGGATTTTTGATTACAATGAGCAATATGTACTCCTCAATGACATAACTAGAGTGCATGTACATTTCAGTTCAATGCATTACAATAAGGATGCAATCACATTGAAGAATAGAGAGGCATTTACGAAGCTGCGAGGACTGAAACGTGATAGCTGTGAGAAAAGATTGAATAGTTTAGGATCGTTTTCTTTGGAACAGAGGATACTGGAGAGAGTGTTAATGAAGGTGTCATAAAAATATGACAAGCATTGTAACAGATGATATGAAGGACCTATTTCCCTAAGCAGAGATGTCAATAGCCAGGGAGTATACATTTAAAGTAACTGGCAGAAGGATCAGAGGCAAGTTGAGGATAACCTATTTTGTCCAGAAGCTGGTGAGGCTCTGGAACTCACTGTCTGAAAGTGTGATAGAAGCAGAAAATCTCATTACATTGAAAATATACTTAGATATGCATTTATTGTTCTCAAATCCAATCAGATCAAATGTTGAAAAAATGGTTTGTTCCAATGGCTCTTTTTGGGCTGATTGGCCTCCATCTGTGCTGCAAATTTTTAACACTTTGCAGCTGGTCATTTATCTCATTGGTGTTTGTGGGCCCTTGCTGGGTGCAATTTGACTGGTGTGGTTCCCAACATTATACCAAAACTACACAAGAAGTTAAACCCAGAAGGCACCACATACATGATATAAATGCCATTTCTTATATCAGTCTTCAGCTAAATGAAAATCACTCACTTAAATAGAATCAGCACCCTTTTCCCTTGCAGTAGAAATTTTTATTCCCTTTGAAATTTGCTATTGTGACATTTTATCCTGATAAGTGCAAGATGAAAAGCTTTGACAGTGTGTCTCTTGTTTCAGCAATACTCAAGCTCTGTAGTACCAGACAACTACTTGAAATAAAATCATTCTTTACCCATCCTTAACTGAAAACAACCTCAAATATGAGCTATCTTTTAATTCTAAATTCAACTGAACCTTAACACAAAATTTAACCTTAGGAGAAGAAAGATTTTACTTAATACTTCGTTAACAACACTGGTGGCAACATAGTTCAGAGATGTAGCAATGAGGCTGGCAAGATTAACAACACAGTTGACTAAGTGGTTGAAATTGCAATCTTCAAGAAGGTTTTGTGACATTTGGGTCACAGAGCAGCAAGTGAGCAAGCTTTGAAGATTTAACAGCAAAATAGCAAAAAACATGCTGAAAAAGCTATGAATTCTTTTTTAAAAGCATGCTTAATTGTAATAGCATGACAGAAATTTGTGTACATCTGGCAGTAGATCAGAAAAATCAGGAATGCAGCAAATACACAAAACACTTAGTACAATCTGGCAAGATTTGACAAGTATTGAATAAAGGATAATTTTGGAAATCTACTGAGAAGTATCAAGACCAGTGCTCTGCACCTCATGACAAGAGCTGGAATAGGATCCTGAACCGTTCCTGCACACTTTACCTCCTGTTCCTGAATTAATTCAGCAGTAAATCTACACATTTACATACACAGAGTGAAAGCAAGCCAGTAAATTGTGGGATGAATCATTATTATGTCAGATTCTGTAAACAGACATGCACACCTTCCAGCAGGAATAATTGGATACAATCAGAAGCTGCATCCACCCTAATTTCTAACTCCTCAATTCACTATCACTGCAGCCAACTGTTGAGTGTCTATTGCTATCCTGAATGATAATGTGCATTAAACCATAATTTAAAACAAACATCTTCAGTCAGATTACTTGTCTATGTATTTGGAAGTCACTTACTCCAGACAATTTTAGCATCTTTGTTTCAGAATAGTCTTATGTGTCAGCCCTATTTTCCACATCATTTAGACCAGGCTCAAAAACATCTCTCAGACACAGATCTGCTTTCTTATTGATGGAGACTAGATGAAGTTGAGCAATAACCATGGAGAAAAAAATGTTTGGAAAAGAAGTCTCAATAAGACAATGAACAAAATGAATCAATGGGATAAATCTTTTTGTTTTACGTAATATCAGTTTTGTCGGGTTTCATGGTGGATTTCTCACTGAGAGGCCTAGTGACATCTCATACCACATCTTACCAAACACACCCTATTAACTGCCTATCCTGTTCCATGGCATACCTCAAACCCAATTCTAGCCCCATTCTACCACTCGCTGCAACAACTCAACACTGCCAGGACATCCTGGAATGGACTCGCATCCCTAGCTCTATGCTTGAAAGCCTGACCCAGACAAGCACCATCAGTTCACAGCTATCCTTCGTGGCTCCTCTCATTTGCCTTGAACATGGCAAAGAAGGAAAATTGGCACCCCACTTTGCAGGCATGGACCTGGAGGCTCTTGTGGGCTGGGTGACTGGGATATAGGACACCCTTTTCCTCCACAATGGCAGTGGAGGCCTTGTCAT